ACATTTCACAGTAGGAGAAAAACATTACTGGATTTAAAGATTTAAATTTTTTAATCGTTATTGCTCCGTACATCATCCTACCGGCCATCCATTTTACTGTCGCCATTCATCTCTCCTCTGCCGTCTTATCAAGTCTTCATCAAAGAGCAAACCCCTGGCCCACAGGTCTCCTTCCTCTTCACCTTGAGCCGCTCTGAGTGTGCTTGTTTGCGTTTCACTGCGTTAACTTTACGCTCCCTTTGTTTTCAGTCGACAGGCCGGGAGTTATGTAATGGGCCGCCCGTAAAAGCATTGCCCCATTTGAAAACTCCAGTACTCTCAACTTAAGACCAACACTAGACACTAGGCCTTGTCTCTTCCTTTCTTTATGGCCATCTGTGTTAAAGTGGGGGAGGGATCGCTTCAAATCGCAAGTTCAAATGCCTGCGGTTGCTTTTATGATGTCAATGACTGAATGGATACCTCTGCAGATGCTGATACAGGAGGACTTGGCTGAGGTCCTAATCCAAGTTTGGGGCTGGTTAAGGACAGGGTAATTTCTCTCGGCCAGAGAGAGGCGGGTGAGCTCGCTGCCTGGGTTGGGGCAGTAAGTAACCTCTGCTCTCTCAGAGCTGTATTCTCCCCTCCGCGGACACTTGAGGGGGGGCTCATTGTTTAGGTGTGTGAAGATGAAGCACCGCATGCTGAAGGATTATATGAGATGGCTGCGTGATTTGTGGGCGGAATGTCCACAAAACCGCAACCCCCACAGATGGAGACCAACTCATACTCTCTCAAATTGGGAAAGAATGGTTTCACAAACTATTTACACAAATTCATTCTGCTTTGCAAAATTAGTTTACGTATACAACTGAATGCAGATATCTATCAAAACTAAACCATTTTTAAAGGAGCAAATCAAAATGTTGGCAACTAATGAAACTGACGTTAATTTCAAAATCTCATGCAAGTTCAAAGTCGTTTAAGTGCTTGTCAGACATTTTAGCTCCGAATAAGCTGACAGAACGCTGATTTTGATGTTTGCAATGTGAAACTCTTAGTAAAACAAAATAGTGATCATAATCATGCTAAGGCTGTGTAGTTTTATAATTGTTTAATATATGCCGACTCGCGCATATGATTCTCTCCGTGCGATCGCGTCCCTGGACCGGAGCCAAAGGCGTGCTGCAGTAGTTTGTGTGACACAACGTGAAACCAGACCTCGTTTGCCCCAATCAAAAGCATATTTACACTATCTGAATCGTTCCCTATCGCCTACATTGTGCAATACGTGCTATTCACTGTACAGGAAATACTACACTGTGAACAAGTAACTGATCTCAGCCGCAGATTCAGTGTCTATTTATAGTGTAGGGGGCGGGCGCTTCAGATTCTAGAGAGCATTTGATTGGTCAGAAGATTTGATGAGAAGCTGAAGTACGAGGTGATGTCAAAAAAATAGTTGATCCATTTTGGCGAAAGTGACGAACTGCAAGCTTTGAATGCTTATATCTTCTAAATCCGAATTTTGTCACTGTTTTGGAGCACACTGCCTTATAGATAACGTCAGTTATGGAGGCCCTTCATAATGCAGAGGTCAGCTGCCTGCTCTGCCAATAGTTAGAAATGGCACTATAGTATTTAATAAACAGCTGTTTTACTAAATTCTGCTGAGGTGAAATTCAGTGCAGTCGTATCGTGGCCTCTGTATCGTGATATGCATCGTATCGTGACTTTGCTGTTGATACACAGCCCTACTTAAGACTAACATATTGATACTAACACCCAAAAAACTTTAATTTTGATTTCATGGGGACTTTAAGGCCCATTCACACCACATAAATATAAAGATGACAATAACTATTAGCGTCCACACCAAGGCACAGTAACGCTCTGTTTATTGTAAGCATGTGCTGCAATTATGTTGACTGCCACTTTAAATACGCAAGCCCTTTAAGGCAGGATAGATTCTGATTGGCTGTCAATGTTTTTATAATTCATAAGCTGGAAAGAAAAAAAACTTTTCTAAAGTGATTCCAATGAAATCAATATCATTATTCATATTTCAACAATATCGTTTCTCTGTAATAACTTGCACAACCTCTGAAACGTCTTTTCAGTCAAAATCACCAAGACCTCACCAAGTTTCAATCAACAGGTGCTGGTGGTGTTTTGTTGCAGTAGTTTTCAATAATTGACTGCAAATTCTGATATTTAATGACCAGTTTCCTGATAAATAAAATTAAGTCCTACCCAATGTTATTCACATGAAACAGCCTGTTTGGGAAGAAAAATTCACATTTAATTAACATTACCTAGCATGTTGTCAACTTGTTGTATGACAAGTAATCAGTCTAAAGCTCTGAATACCCACTGAAGGTCCCAAGGGTTCATGAGGTAAACGGGTATCCGGTATGTCTGCGCCATTGTAATTTTTAACAGTCTCATGAATTATTAGAAATACAGCAGTATCTCTACCACTCCCAAGTCTTGTCCAGAACTGATGTGAGAGATTGATTATGTACTCTACGCCTTTGGCCGAAAAAAGACCTTCCTTCATCTCGCCCACCATTCTGACACTACGCAGCTCCTACGCTGAAAACAACCAGATGTTTTACACCATTTGTTCCATAGTAGCAGAGCAAGAGCATTCATTTCAACCCTGCGAAAAGCTTCTGAATCATGGTGTTTGGTCGACAGATGCCGGACAGTCATGGACTAGACTGTACTCCAGCTCGGAGTACCATTAAAAGGCTCCACGGTGGTTTGTTTTAGTCGTTTCGGCCAGGCATCTTTAAACAGTTCCTAATACAGAGTGACATGGACCTAAAGCCTTTGAACACTGCTGTAGAACTACATTTTAAGGTGCTTCACCCTTTAAATTATAAAAGTAGTGAGTTATCGCTTTGTTTGTCAAGCCCTTAAACCCTTGAGGGGTATTAGCAGAGAATACCATGGAAAGAGTATTGTTAAGAATATTTTTAAAATCTTGTAAATTCTGGTAATTTATGTCACCCTTTTCCCAGGGAATGTTACCCCTCCCTTATGGTTTGCATTTGGGGCAGAGCAGCAATGGACGGATACATGTACCTGTAATAGGGACTGTTTAACACCCCCTCCTTCTCTTCATCTTTCTCCCCCCAAATCCCTCTAGGCAGGATTTACTGTGGTGACCTCCCAACTCTTTGGTTCCCTTCCCGCTAGTTAAGGGCCTTCCCAGGCTCCCAAACCCTCAGAGTTGGAAGCTTGTAGCATTTAGGGGCTATGCCCTGTTTTTTTCCCCCATCACCAGCACTGCGTTTAATCAGTCCAGACCCGTGGTGATTTGGTTTTAATTCTAAGAGGTGGTCCGTATTTGGCTGTGTGATTGAATGCAGTGATAAATGGGAAAGCGAAGGGGGGCCATATGCCTGGTTCGAACTGCATTACGGGTATTACTTCATTTATTAAAGTGGGACCGGGCTTGTTTGCATGTCTCAAACAAGGTTCAACTCCAAAACCTGACCCACAAACATGCATTTCAGCATGTTATAGATCTTAATATAGAATAAATGGTTTTCAAAGGTTGTGGCCACCATTTATTTTCAATTCGTTGAACAGTGATTTGCTACAACCTTCGAATATGATCACAATTTTGTGGTCCCAACTGAAAGGTGCACCTTGAAATAAGTTCTCGCCAGATTCAAAGGCTGAGTCGCATGTATCCTTCATGAATAACTCAATCCTGCAATGCATTGTGACAAACTCCAAATTAAATCCAATGTGGCAGGCAAGGCGGAAAAGATTATTTTCAATGAATACTGACAGCTGACGGTTAGAATAGTTCAGCGTCTTTTAAAATGGACAATTTTACCAATATTTGTGTGCTATTTTTTACTTTGTCAGAGCTGTTAGCATAGCAATGTAACGGAGGCCAGCTAAGTAAACTTCACTACTAAAAAAGTTCACTACTAACAGATGCTAGAGACTGCTGTATTTGGTGTCCTTGTTAGTGTGTCCGCCTCCCTTGCCAGAAGCGTCGGTTCGAATCCCGCTCGGAGCGAGTGAGGGGAGTATAACCAGAAGGGGTTATGTTGGTGCCGTGACCCGGATGGGAGAGAGATTTAGGAGGGTGAGTGTAACGGAGGCCAGCTAGTAAGTGCTGTGCAGGTAAACCTCACTCCCCTAATCGCAAGAGGCACGCTAGCAACAGATGCTAGAGGTTGCGGTCTTTAGCATCCTTGCTAGCGCACCTGCCTCCCATGCTGGAAATGCCAGTTCAAATCCAGCTCGGTGCGAGTGTGGTTGAGTAGAACCCGAAGGGGTTACAGCAACATGCTAACTTGTGTGTTATTTGTACTGAGTTACTGCCTATATAAAACATTCTAGATTGGTCACTTATGAGGTTCTATGTCCAGAACAATGCTTTGTGGATAAAAGCTCAGTGCAAATCTATATCCAAAATGCCTGAGGCAGGAAAGTGTTTAAAAAAAATGTAATTCAACACTGACAGTTATGAAATTTAAGATAATACAGTTATGTGCCATTTAAAGTGGACGGTTTAAATCAGTATTTATTTAACTTGTCAAAGTATGGAGCTGTTAGCATAGCAACATGCTAACGTTATTGAAATCAGTTGCAAATTGAGTCTCCTTTGCGCAATTTCTTAGTGCGAGTTGGCACCTACATAAAACAATACAAATTGGTCTCTTATGAGGTTCCGTGTCCATTTCAATCCTGGGTAGCAAGGCAGCTCACTAGGTTTTGGAATGGAGCTCGATTGTGTCCTCCCATGGAGCAAATCTGAACCTGTGTGTGCTCAGCGTACATACTGAGCAGAAGTGGATGAGGCATCCCTGTCTGTGTTTTATGGAGTGTAATTGTGCACTGGGAGGCACTGCCCTCTATTTCTCCTCTTAATGGCTGTTTGTGTGTTGTTTTAGTGGCAGATTTATGTGTGGGATGGGCAGTGAGGGGTGGGTTGATTTACAGCTGGCTGTGGCTTTGGCCTCACTGGTTGCACGTGTGTGTGTGTGTTCCAGGTGATTGTGCAGTCTGGCCGCCAGCCCAGCGTGTTGCAGAAACTGTGTCAGCTGCCGTTCCAGTATTTCAGCCACCCGCGACTCATCAAAGTGCTCTTCCCCTCGCTCATCTGCGCCTGCTACAATAACCTGCAGAACAAGGTCATCCTGCAACAGGAAATGAGCTGTGTGCTGCTGGCCACCTTCATACAGGTAAAAAAAAATTTTGGTTTAGCAACTTTATCCATAACTTGAAAATAAAAAGGAAATTCGGTACTTTTGAAGTTTGTCATTTCTGTGCCACTAGCATAACAAAACTTCCTTGAACTCTTTTCCCGTCTTCCATTAGTCAGTCAAACAGCCCTGCCCCAAATTACCGCTATTGGTTCATCCAACCCATTGTTTCACTTTACAGTGGAGTCGATATACAGCTTTTAGATGTATGTATTTATCTGGGATAGAAGAAATTGTGTCATAAGCATCACTAAATGGAGTAATGTTGATGTTTGTTTCACAAGCATGTCTCAAACTATGTTCCAGCTATAAAGAGGTGTTCACACTGATAGTGATTTGAAGCTGCAAAACAACTGAAAATCGTTGGAAACGCATTTACCGAATACATCTTGGGAACAAATTAATTGAAATTATTTTTTTGTTTTTGCAGTATTCAGATTCTGCACTTAATTTAAACTTGCTATTGTGAACACCCCTTAACAGATTTACTAAAGCAACCTATGCAACAATGTTCACAATAGAGTAATCAAATAAATACAGTGCATGTGTTAGAACATTCAAAAGTGTAGTGTATAATTGTTATGTTAAAATACTTCCTAGGTATCATTTAGCATATTTTAGAACAATTATAAATTATTGTAATTGAACTGGAATCGAATCAGTTCAAATCATGCCCAAATTTGAGATTTTACAATGCATTATCATTTAGTAAAACATTAGCAATTTACATTTAAAATTTATTCTTTTAACTTAAATGCAAGTTATTGGTCTATTCCCTGGGAATCGAACCCATGACCTTTTTGTTGCTAGCGCCCCACCACCCCCTAAAAGAAGCAGCTTCCTTTGCTCAAATGGATGGTTTCCTCTGTCTGTTTGAGTGGATTTACCTGCCACTTCTTGAGCCTGCTGTAAACACCCTTTCCCTTCATCTTGTTCCTGACAGCGCTCTCCACACTACAGCACCGCTGCCATTACTTTCACAGAGATTAGCTCCAACTCTTAACAAGGACAGGGAATCGTCAACCTGTTCAAACAATGGAAAGACACTAATAAAACTTTACCCACTTCATCCAAAACTCAAAAATGAAAAAGCGATTTGGCTATTTAATCTGAAGTAATTCCTGCGCCACTAGCCACTTCACAAACTGTGAATGTTTATTAAATACATATGGTTTACTTATAGTTGTTGTGCATATTTAAGCAGGATAGAAGAATTATCTGCAGCACAAATGCGACCAAATGGAATAAATAATCAAATCTGTTGACTTATGTGTAATCTAGGACTGTGCTACCAATGAGAACAAATCGGACAGCAAAGCTTCACATTCAGGTAAGGTCTATATTTAACTTGTTTGAGGAAAAAAACAAGACTATTTGCTCTCTTGCATCAGTTTATCTTTGCTTAAGTGCATGCGTGCATTTTAAATATAATTTGCTTTTGTACATTTAAAAGGTACAATTTACAAACCCTCATGTTGCCTTCCAGTCATTTTGGACCTGGAGATGATTTTCTTTTGCCTGAAAATGCTAGTTAATGCTTTGGAGTTGGAGTTTTTGAACATTATCTCCACACAATGCTTTTTTTCACTCAAAAACTGAGGTCAACATCAGATCAATGAAGCCTGCGATCAATCAGTTTGAAAAGCAAATACAAAACCTGTGCTAATTAAAAGTAAACAAGTGTTTGAATCCAAGATGAGGTGATAATATAGCATAATGTGAGACTTACAAGCAGTTTTTATAAGGCTGGTCATTTTTGAATGGGAACACCAAAGTAGGTAAAGGATTTTCAGCGCCGAGAAAGTGTTAAATATACATATTATACATTTTAAATGGGATTATAAATGTTTCCGATTGTCAACTGGATCCAGAAATCCACATATTCCATTCTAAAGTGCGTTAGTTCAAATGAATGTCTTTATTGCTCACAAAATGATCTTCTCTGGCATTGGTTTAATGCTTTACTTCCTGTGTCAGTTCTAACGCTCTGATCTTTCACCATCAGAGAAGGGCTGGGCTTCTCTGGACTTCTGCGAGCTCTCCAACCGCTTCCCCAGAGACCAGTGGGATACTGCACTTCAGTTCTTCCTCAAGAAGCAGCAGGAGGAGTGAGCGAACGAGTGCGCTGCAGTCATTTACAAGAGCACATTACACTCACTGAAGATAAGTCGAAATGTACACTTGCAGTGCAACGCTGTGCTGGAGGTGTTTAGGGTACGAATCATCCACCCTGTCAATCAGTAGTGAGGCATTCCTAGTAGTCATCCAGTAACTATATGTTAACATATATATATATTAGCGCGCACTGAAATCAAACTTGACTTATCTCACGTGTATTTATAAGCAATCAAATGTTTACAGATTTACCTTACATACATTTTTGGACACATTTATAGTGATCTTGTGTTTCACAAAAGAGCAAATCTCTTTCTAAGCTTTCAACAGTTTTTGGATGGAAGTATTTTTTGTGTAAAAAAGTTTAATTGTGAAGTTTGAGTTTGACCATGTTTTTCTGTAAATAAAAAGATATTGGGGAGTGATGCAGAATAAACAGAAGCATTTGTTTAATTTCGGGAGAATGATGAGTTACCTCATCCGTTGCTTTTCTTGTTCCAATTAGTTTCTATGCATAAAGAGGAAGATTTCTTCCTGTAGCTGACGTCATGATTTTTAATAATTTAGTTGTTGTTGTGATTCTTTGCTTGTTCACTTTTTTTATACTGTAATTAATACACAGTGAAGTTATTCTACACATTTTTCCCTTTTGTTAATGCATTGAAGCATGTAAGTTTAATTTAAGAAATGGACGAGTTTAATAAAATATTTAATAGTGCATAATCTTTGAGTTCTTTTATTGTAACTTGCTTTGAAATATTGTTTACCAGAATATGCTTTGGATATTTGAATATAAACAGTCGAGGGAGTCTCTAATTTTCAGTCTGAGACCACTAATGTAATTGCTTCTATTTTGAGTTTTTCTATTTTAATGCAAATGTTTTATCTTGCAAACATAACAATTTGAGTGAAAATTGAACTTTAAAATATTTATGAATTAGAGATGTGTTTGGTTATTTCCCTTTTTAATGAAAGTAGCTGCATAAAGTTCGTCAAACCTCATGATGATGTTCTCCAGCATGATCTGAGATGATCTAAAGAACATCTGTACAAAGGAGTTTACTTTTTTTTATATATATATATATGTATATTATTAGTGACCAGAAATGGTACAGAATCTAAAATATGTTTTTGATTTTTAAAAATTCCTACAGCTTTCTTTCCAGATTTACATTCAGATTTTAAATCACTGACATTCGACATGGTCTCAGACGTTTGGACCCCACTGTAAATTAAGCAACTTGAATTTAAAAAAAATATATATATATATATTAACAATATTTTACACTACTCCCATGCATGATTGTAATGTTTAAGCATACTGGAGATTAAGGTTATTTTAAAAAGTGCTGTATTTTATTATAGCTATAGGAACATCTCTATCAAAAATAAGCAACATGGGATGTGTTTTAATTGAGAGCTTTTATTGGCTAACTTACAGTTCTAATTTATTCGCTGGGACACGAAGTGGAGCTGGAACCTGCAATGTGGGTTAAACGGCATTGTAAAAGGGTCCTTACTGGCCCTGGGGCACCACAAACAGCCCGCTGTGCTTCTGTTCAATCCTTCTCTCTCACACACTCAGTCTATAGGCTTCTCTGTACCTGTGTGAGTCACAGCAGCTCCGCCCCGCCGCCGCCTCCGAGTCACTCAACACACCGATGTGTCAACGCGCGCTGGAGCCTCTGGGTCAGACACACCTCCAGTTTCAGAAGACCATCACTTCTACACCAAATCTGGGGGGGGGGGGAATATGTATACATCAATTAAGGTCATTTGGATTGTCTGAGACTTTTTAATATATCACTTTTAAAAATGGATGTATTTTATGTGAGGTGTAGTTGGTGGGCTTTGAAAATGAAGCGGGTGTGTTTGTGACCACTCGAGTGGGAGCTGTTTGTATTGACCGTTCCGTTTGCTATTCCAGAACCATCTGAGATCTCGGACTGAAGTGAACTCGGAACAGAAGAACGCTGTGGCCCTTTCCGTCCTGTCAGTTAATGAATCATGAGTTCATGTTTTTAGAGACTGAATTTGTTTGCCTGAATGTCTCTTGCGTTCACTGAAATGCATCTCTTATTTTCTACATGTAATTAAGAAAAGCGTCTGTGAGCGTGTGAAGAAGAAACCTGTTTTTATGAAGACGCCCGAAATGCACTTTTTTTATTATTAAATCCACATCAACAACCGCACCATTCAATGAAATACAGATTAACAATGTCATTTTCGACAAATTGACGCTTTTCGCCGTGTGGGAAAATGTGTAAAATAAAAAGCTTATGTAATGGCAAATTTCAAACAATTAGGTATTTACATCATTACGGGTTTTTGTTTATGGTAAAGCGCTTCAAAATGTAATAGTTAATTTGTTTGTTTGTTTAAATGTTTGTTTCGCTAAACCGATTGTGTGAAAATTAGATTTGTGCTCAATAATAATTTTGCAGCATTTTATGCAGTCTATGTCAAACTTAATATTATTCATTTTTCTTACTTAAATACCTTTGTAATTTCTCCAATTTTCCCCCAGTTGATTTTCGCATACCTTGTGAATTTTATATAGCCTATACGAAATTTATATTTTTGGCTAATAAATATTATTTTTCAACAGGCAAAAACATCCTGTCAGTTAATGAATCATGAGTTCATGTTTTTAGAGACTGAATTTGTTTGCCTGAATGTCTCTTGCGTTCACTGAAATGCATCTCTTATTTTCTACATGTAATTAAGAAAAGCGTCTGTGAGCGTGTGAAGAAGAAACCTGTTTTTATGAAGACGCCCGAAATGCACTTTTTTTATTATTAAATCCACATCAACAACCGCACCATTCAATGAAATACAGATTAACAATGTCATTTTCGACAAATTGACGCTTTTCGCCGTGTGGGAAAATGTGTAAAATAAAAAGCTTATGTAATGGCAAATTTCAAACAATTAGGTATTTACATCATTACGGGTTTTTGTTTATGGTAAAGCGCTTCAAAATGTAATAGTTAATTTGTTTGTTTGTTTAAATGTTTGTTTCGCTAAACCGATTGTGTGAAAATTTGATTTGTGCTCAATAATAATTTTGCAGCATTTTATGCAGTCTATGTCAAACTTAATATTATTAATTTTTCTTACTTAAATACCTTTGTAATTTCTCCAATTGTCCCCCAGTTGATTTTCGCATACCTTGTGAATTTTACGAGCTTTTTATATATAGCCTATACGAAATTTATATTTTTGGCTAATAAATATTATTTTTCAACAGGCAAAAACTAAATTTGGTTGAAGAAAAGCCCTGAATGTGCTTGACATTTCTTGCCTGTTGTCAGCATCCAAGATATTTGGATATAGATTATTTCGTTCTATTTCAAGGTTTGAGCTTGTCTGTTGTGACAGTTTTCAAAATTAATTGTAAGGAATAATTTAAACATGAATATATGAACTAACACACGACATTTCCATAAAGGGGCATGTATTAGTTGTTTAGCTTTAAGAGTCGAATATGGGTTGGTTTTTAGATTTATAAACTAAAGGTTAGCTAAATACTTTGACTTTTCAAATTAACATGACAGACAAGGACAGAGTTGTGCTTCGCAAAGAATTTCGAGATTTGTTTTATACAAACATGAACTTGGATTAAGTATGCGTTTATTTAATTAGGTCTAAATTATTAAATTAGTGGCGGAATTTGAACCAAGATGCAGCTCTTGACCTCTGGCCATGCCATCTGAATCGTTATTTCTCCCTACAGCAACTATCTATAAGCGCTGATGTCGACAAACCTAGTCATTTACAAGAGATATTTTATCGGAATCTATTTAAGATGTCTTAATTGCAGTCGATTTAATGGGCTGTAATCAGGATCAGATCTGAACACGGTTTAGCAAACCTACTTCCAAGACAGCAAAAGAATAGTGGTAATGTATTAAAGTATAAGCTTAAGTTTGGGCTTTGGTTATGTTTCAATTAAATAGCCTACTTCTTGTTGTCTGTCCTTACAAACAGAATTGAGGAGTTCCACCCAGAATGCGCTCCGGCGTCTGTCTGCGCTGCGCCTGCGTGAACGGCCTCTCACAAACCGCCTCTGTGCAGTGGAAAGGTGGCTATACATTGTTAAATAGATGTTTAAAAAATGCCTATGGAAATTCAGTAACCTATGGAAATATTATATTTAAGTATTTAATCGCTGTAAGATTTTTGTTGTTAGGTTTTGAATAGACAACACTGTAACAACACCTCAATGCAAGATTTCAGATTTTAAGGTGTATTTCCTAAAGACCTCTCAATATCGCGTAACTATCTCGATTTACATATTTCCTGTTGAAACGGGCAGCTTGAGACTAGGGACATGTGGAATGGCTTGTTTTGGAACGCCAAAACATCTGTCGGAATTCCCATTTTTTTCAGATAATAAAGATGAACTTATTATTAAAGAACGTGTATGTATTTATGGACAGCAATGTCCTGTGAAAATTCACCTGTGAGATGTATAAATCCTCCATCAACGCCTGAAAATGACTAGAATGTAGGAAATCAGATATGCCTGCATGAAAATGCTTATAACTATTAAAGAACGTGTATGTATTTATGGACAGCAATGTCCTGTGAAAATTCTTATCACCGGGTTTTATTTAACCACATATGTAACCAATCTTTCTTGGTATCTTAACCCGATCTCATGAAAGTGAGTATAAATAGTAAGCCAAATAAAAACGAAAAATCGTGGTATTGATACGCAAAAATGTACTTTGGCGTGTATATGCTAGGCGATGGGTAGGATTAGGGTCGTGGGATAGATGCGTATCATATGTACGCGAAAACTGCGTATCATATGCACGCCAACAAATTTCGTATCATATGCACGCCAAATACGTGCGTAGCATATACACGCCAAAGTCCATTTTTGCGTATCAATAACACCAGTTTTCGTTTTTATTTGGCGTACTATTTATAAGCATTTTCATGCAGGCATATCTGATTTCCTACATTCTAGTCATTTTCAGGCGTTGATGGAGGGAGGGGCATTGTCATTTTAGAGACCATTTGATTGGACAAAATCAGTAATGCGGGATGAGTCACCAATAACCTTGTTCTGTTTTCAGGAAGAAATAGACTGCACATTAAAACCACATATTTGCAAAATATTTGCTAAATCCACATATTTGCTAAAAGCTTAGCAGAACTATCGTCTCAAGCCTATACATGGACTAAAAGCCACCCTTGATTTCCCAGGCTCTTAAAAGTAAAAATTTTTATTAAAAACAAAAACTAGATTATAATTGTAAGCAAAACAACGTTTGAATGCCTGAATTGGCCTAATTGCAGAAAAATAACTGAAGCAACAGAAATGAATAGGCTGCCTATCCTTCAGAGTTTGGTTATCTGACACACCGGGATTATTTTGCCACAATGGCCCGCAGTGATTTTGGTCTGATCTTCTGGTGTCCAGCGGCTATCTGCTGCCTCGGAATAAAAATAAACCCTGGACATGCAAGGGTGCGTTTGCCGAAAGGGAGTCCCGTTAAGAGAAAGGTGGCTTCGGGTTTGTTGTGCTTACATTCATTGGATCATTTGCAGGTGATGCCGAGCGCAGATAAGCGGCCGCCGATCCCTGCGTCCTCCGTCTAGAGTCTAGACTCACAGCTTTACGAGCAATACGAGATTGATCACAGCTACGGGAGGGGTTCAATTACTCATTCAGTATCCGCTCGGCACGATTTTTAGATGGATAGATGTATATTCATTCGTAGCCTCCATTAAGAGTTGAATGTGACAGATTGGGGATCTGTGATCAAGTTATGGCCTCAATATGTCAGTGCGTCTTTATTAGTTATTGGCCAGCTGTGTTATAAATAGGCCTATCACTTTTACGAAAACTGTCTCTTTTAAAAGACGTAATTTTGGTGCTCAATAGTCTTAGAGAATTAGAAGCGTATTCCCAAATCAAAGAATAAATTCTGCATAATGCTGTTTTTTATATTCAGTATTACAGTTCAAAATATTCCGTCTCTATAGGCTATTTATAATCTCAAAAAGGAGATGTATAATTTAACCTAACTATTGTTTAAAAAAAAGTAATAATGCACGTCTGTATAAATGGATGAAAAAGCTAAATACAAAATACAATTTCCAAATTCTTGTCAGAATAAATTCAGATATCACTATTTAATTCTGTTCACGTTGCTCTTTTTCTTTTTACTAGATCTTTGGACAGTTATTCCCAGTCCAGTAACCAAAACCTTTGAAACGTAAGTGTCTCTTGTTATAATATAAAAAGATATGTAAAGGTAACATGATATGGTTGTCTTTGCATGCAGGCTTCCTCAGACATAAACAGCATTTAAAGTCGTTTATTTAGGTAATTTCTCAGTTTTTGGTATGGACGGTTGTCCTGACAATAAATAACAATAACTTACTTTTTTTTAAATCGAGAAGTTTATACAATCTTTCCTCCATTCGTTACGATAAAATATTTTACATCTTCGGAGAGATCATGCGCATTAAGACACAAAAAAAAGATTTTTGTCTTGCAAGGAAAATACCACTTGTTGATAAAGCTACACAATGATGGTCTTGAATAAACACTGTTAAGACTGTTGTTTCGTAAGGATGACAGTGGTCCATAATCAAAACCAAAATAACGTGTTCATATTCCGCTGGACGTCCTCGATACTGTCCAAATGCTTTCAAAACAGTTTTGTAACACGTCTGGAAACCCCAAAGTCGCTTGGACAGGCTCCTCCGTTTGGCAAACTGTTTAAATCCATCTCGGTTAATCCCTTTTTCCGTTTGAGGCGGTGAGGTGATGGGTTTTCATGCAGGGCGGGTGAGGGCATGCTGGGGCAGGAGTCTCCGGTGGGCTCTCACGTCTCCACGGGACTGGGCACCATGCTGTTGGGGGTGTCGGGTAACTGCGATGACAGAGAGGTCACATCACTACCAGACGAGTTACCCAGCGAACCCGACTCGGAAAATGACACCTATAGAAAGGGAGGAGAGTTGACAATCAGTGATTAAATGTCAGAGTTTTACATACGATTTGCAATTGACATTTACAAAAGCCTACACAACTTTGGCATGCTGTTAAATAACAGACAGGGCTACAGATAACGACCTCCTGTTAAACGAATAGGCTATATTTAGTCATATATATTTCTTTAGTTACAATACAGTGCTCGCTTGAAATTGAGCAAAATTGAAATAATTGCCGAATGTTGGCTAACGCCCCTCAAATCCAATATAACAATCCGCAGTCCAATGTTTTGCTTTGAAAACGTTTAAATTGATCATTTTGATTTAAAGAAAAGTCGGTAGGACTTGTAATAACTGTTCGGGGATGGCAGTCCTCACCAGCTGTTGGAAAGCAGGCTGGTCCAGGTCACTCTGTAAGGCAAATTCGCTTAAGGCTTTCCACGGAGGCTGATAGGTTTGAACTTCCACAGGATTTCCCTGGACTGTGGTGTCATGTCTAATCGGGCTGCCTGCCACCAGAGGCGTTCCCGTGAGACCCTGAAGATTCTGCAGAAAGGTAGAGGAGATACCTTAGCAACACACAGCTATCGTATTTCAATTTTCAAAGAAGCTTAACACTTCGGGGGGGATTTCATAGATGTTCAGAATCTTTAAAACATCACATCAATATGCGATAATATAGTCTCATCTAATTTTGTAAAGTGTATATTATGACCAACTAAAGTGCTTTAGTGCAGAGATAGATAGATAGACAGACAGACAGACTTTTACAACTAAAGGTTCTTTATTGGTATCAGTAGTTCCATGAAGAACCTTTAACATTCATGGAACCATTCTATTGCACAACATGTTGTTTAGTGGAAAAGGTTCTTTAGATTATTAAAATGTTCTTTACACCAAGAAAATTTTTTTTTTTAAGAATTGTTCACTGAAAGATGGTTCTTATGGCATCGCTGGGAAAACCCAATTTTGGAAACTGTTTTAAGAGTGTAGGTAGGCATGTAGCTATCGTTCATGTCCATTTAAAAAATAAACGACAGACGAGAACTAGCCTGATAAGAAGCCGAAAAACCTGTTATGTAACATCAATAACTTTTTTTAATCTCCAAAATAGCTTGCAGCCAGTTCAATAATAAAGAATAAAATTGGATTCTCTACTAAGGTGCTCCAAAAAAAAAACATTGAAGAAACTTTATTTGAAGAGTAGAAATTAAACCTGCTGGTAGAGATATTTTTCTGTCATTAGGGTTGCCTGCAAAAAGTATATTCCTACCGTTTTGTCGCTGTGTTGCTGTTGCTGTAGCTGTTTCATCAGAATGGATCTCTTCTTGTCTTTGCAGCGTTTGTTTTGAAACCACACTCGTATAACGCGTGGGCTCAGGCCGGTCATTTCCACGAGCTGTTCTTTCATTAGCGCGTCCGGACGCGGGTTTGCGTTATAACACGTCCGGAGAGTGTGGAGCTGCTTTTCATTTAATACTGTCCGAATACGCGTGGTCTTCTCAGACTGCTTATGAACGTGGTTCCGGTGAGCTGGCTGTCGAAGTGGCACAGGTTCTGCGAATAAAAGGCGTATAAATCACTTTTCGGCTTAAGCGGTGATTTCACTATTCAGACGCACTGCAGAAGAGCACGCTTGAAGGTTAAATTGTGCATACACACATCGGTCTGTAGCCAAACACCATAGGGCTTTCAATATGCTCTCAACTTTGCTGAATGTGCAAAATGTTCAAGGATCGACATAGGATATAAAAGTATAACATGCAATAAGTGCACCATATTGCAGAGTAATAAGAGGGTTAAGCAGTGACACATAATCGAACAGAATATTTTTAGGCTATGGTTTAATGCTGTTTAAGCTTTAAGTCAATCAGATATCAAAGCATTAGACAGTTCACCATTTGCACGGGTTATTTTAGTCAAATCATCTAAAGGCAGTTTTAGCTCGAAATGTAAATCTTACGCCTAATCAATAATGTATTTAACGCTCTCAACTTTGCTGAATGTGCAAAATGTTCAAGGATCGACATAGGGTATAAAAGTATAACATGCAATAAGTGCACCATATTGCAGAGTAATAAGAGGGTTAAGCAGTGACACATAATCGAACAGAATATTTGTAGGCTATGGTTTAATGCTGTTTAAGATTTAAGTCAATCAGATATCAAAGCATTAGACAGTTCACCATTTGCACGGGTTATTTTAGTCAAATCATCTAAAGGCAGTTTTAGCTCGAAATGTAAATCTTACGCCTAATCAATAATGTATTTAACGAAAAAAAAAATGGTAAAAACGCGACTGCAGAGTTTTCCCATATCTCTAGATCTGTTTGGGTCGGGAATCTGTGAAAAAGAGGGCCTCGACGAAATTCCAAAGCTGTGAAATCACAAATATAGAGTGGCTCGTACCGTACGTAATCTCTCTTGCAATAAGTCTTGCCGTCTCGGACGAAGCAAGTGCACGTCTCGTCCAGGTACTGACTGCATTCTGCGCACTTCAGACAGGCTGCGTGCCACTCCAGGTCCGGGGACACTCGCAGGATGTACTGATCATGGATCTGACTTCCACAGCCGACACACATGGCGATTCCAGACTTCTCTGGATGTGGAAAGCAGGGATTAGTGTCCACCGATTGCACCCCTATTCAGTCCCGCAAAACACCAGCGTCGTGTAAATATATAGGGAAATTATAGGCTACATTAGAGCTCATGTTTCATGCATGCATCCTCGTTTTGAATGTCGCTAGACCAAAAAATGTCGATTTCTTCATTATAATAGTTAAAAATGTATTTTGCATAAACGCTATTCAAACTTCTCGTGCAATGACGAAAAACATGTCAAATAAACATCCAGCACTTACTTTTTGAATGATCCCCCATATCACCCAAGAAAGAAGGATGGGGTAGAATATCCACCATACAGGAGTGTTAAGGCAGAAGGCTCCAGATGAGGAAATGGAATGGGAAACTGCCTCAAGAGGGGGGTGTCTCTTATGATCTCGCAAAGTCTCGCGAGAACTCAACTTAACCTCTATCCTCTGTTACTAAAGCAGGGACAGTGTGGTGCTGTAATCATGCTCAAAGCAATAAACAAGACACATCTCCGGCAGCTGGTAAGACAAATCCGTCGAAACGACACAATAGCCAGTTCCTTTTAAAGCTGTTATTTGTGCTCTCTAACGTTACCCCTTCTAGACAGAAATACTATTAAATGAATAGCTTAGCACGCTGGCTAACTCATTCAGTTCAGCAGAAGTTAGGCAATATGTTACTAAACTGCAGTTCTTTACCATATCATCTTGTTTTATTGTGTTGTTTTTGAAATGTGAGCGTTAAAGCGCAATGTCAAATGTTTTGGTTACTTTGCTAACATATTTTTCATGGTTGTACAGGATGCTAGCTAAGCGTCTAAACGACAAGTTTCATATATTCTCATAGTTTTGCTTCTTTTTATAGCTATAAACAGAAGTATTGACCTTATGAACAACATTTAATAAACGTGACATGTTGTTCATGACACTTGGTATATGATTAGGTAATAAACAGAGCTTGCTAATTATCTGTCAAGGTTATGCAATATGTAAACAGTGCGTTATGAAACCTCTTCACTGTCCTTAAAGGGATAGTTCACCCAAAAATGAAAATTCTGTCATTTACTCACCCTCATGCCGTTCCAAACCTGTATGAGTTGCTTTCTTATGTTGAACACAAAATAAGATATTTTGAAGATTGCTGGTAATCAAAAAGTTGCTGGTTGCCATTGACTTCCATAGTATTTTTTTTCCCTACGACATGAGGGTGAGTACATGATGACAGAATTTTCATTTTTGGGTGAACTATCCTTTTAAGTAACTGCTTGACCTACAATGCATTTAAAATGTGACCTACATTGCATTTGATATGTTAATATATTAGGTCAGATCCTAGGTAGTATCAGATCCCTGCTATGTCTCAGATTTCTGATGACCTCTGCGCTGCAGAACAATGTCTGGCTGCACTGCATTACATAGTAACCTCATATCAGTTATTTGGGTGAAAGGGCTGGCCAGATATTTATATCTTACTGTATCAGATCCAGTAGTTAACCAAACCTATTTTTTCTTTCCAGTCTGGTCTGCTTCAGAGGTTTCAGAGTACTCTGGTAGTTGCCGAGCACAATAATGAGACGCTGACCCCCATCACCCTGAACGCCATCACCGCTGCTACGAAACTCGGCAGTGATGTGTCCTGTTTGGTTGCTGGAACAAACTGTGCAAAGGTATTATCTGTTCAAGCACATTGATTTATGTGTAGCAATTTGAAAGAGTGATTTCAGGGGCCTGATTATGGGTTTCTGGACAGGTTGCAGAGCAGTTGTCCAAAGTTCAAGGGGTGAAGAAAGTTCTGGTAGCTCAACATGAAGCCTACAAAGGTTTATTGCCAGGTAAGCCCTACTTAAATTTGTTTTGTTCTTAAATTTCGTAAGTATTTGATTGTTGTACTATTCTTTATGGAAGATTTACACAAGTAACTTTGCATAAAGCGTCTGACAGGTGAGGGAAGGAGGTAATGAGTGGTTTAAATGAAAAACTTTCTTTCACAGAGGAGCTGACGCCTCTCATCTTGGCAACCCAGAAACAGTTCAGCTTCACACACATCTGTGCGGGAGCTTCTGCTTTCGGAAAGGTAAATCCAAGGCAGAAGTTGAGGACGTTGGGCTGAAAGGGTGACATTCTGTTGTCTTTATCATTTAGCCATCCTGTGTCCTTTACACACTGTGGGAAAAATAACACTGTGGTTAGGTTTTTTTAAAGAGGCATCTATATGAGATCGCATGTACTGAACATGTATGTATAATATTAGCATTTTAATTTGCTTTAATCATAGTTGAAACCTTTTGTCGGCTATTTAAAATCCATTTAAATGGAGTGAATTAATCAGATGGAACAAATAGGAGTAAAATTGCAGACTAAATGCATTAAAAAAAGCATGTGTATAACAGTTATGATTTTATTATATCATTATTTTATGGTTTTATTCAGCAGTCTATTTTGAACGTTAAAAACAATACTGTGGTTATGTTTTTATTGTAATGACAAACTGTTATCAGACTGAACAAAATGACAAGTTTTTATTAGATAGAACAATTTTATTTGATATCAAATTGAATAAAATGAAAATTTTTGCCTTATCTTTTTTTTGTTAAACATTATGATGTTTTTGTATTTGATCGTAAACTTTTATCTGGTTTTATGACTAACTAAATTTTTGACTTGAACTTATTTGACAATGAACATTTATCATATTGAACAAAGCTTCCACATGTTTTTGCCTTGATCTTTTTTGTTTGATGATAAACTTTGTACAAATTGTAAAAATGTCTCACGTTTTGCTTTGATTGTTTTGATCAGATCAAGCTAATTTGACACTTTTTTTTGCCTTGTTTGTATTTTTTATTTGATGATGAATTTTTATCAGATCAAACTAAATTGGTGTATGTATTTTTGCCTTATATTTTTTTTATTTGATGACATAATTGACATAATCTGATGAAATAACTTTTATCAGGCTGTACAAAATTGCCTTTTTTTTTTGCTGATGAATATTGTTCAGATCAAAATGCAAAACAGTGTTTTTTATTTTCCACGTGTTCACATCAGTTATTAGTGTAGTTATGCTTTGCTTAATGCAGGATTTTGTGGTTATTTGATTATTTCCCAAAGCGAAAAGCACAAATGGGAAATAAATTAGAAAGTCTCATACTGCCGAGCCCCTATCAGGCTTCTTACTTTTGGAATAGTGGGAGAAGTCCGTCTTCAATAAGTGCGGCTCTATTATATGCACGGTTATTTGTCATTCCACAGCCAAACTGTCAGGCAGCAGATCTAATGGTATTTAAATTGAATTGTAATACATTAAACAGTATCTTATGTAGCCTAACCCCAGACCAAAGAGATGTATTAGTCTCAATTTCCTCACTGGCTAAATGTATTTTATTTGATGGATTCTTAAGTGGTGGATTTGGTTTCATTATGTCACTATATAAAACACTTGAATTAGCACAATGCTATATTTTTCACCTCCAGACATAACTTGGAGCTCTTTTTCAGACTCAGCGATATTTATTCCGTCTGCGATGCAGGATGGCCAAAGTTTTCAGACACGCGGTGAAACTGGATTTTGATCAATGCCTGCTGAAATAATGCTATTTCCAAACAAATCAAATTTGACCACATCTGTAGATAAGGATGGACATGTTTTAATGGCTTGAACTTAATCCAAGAGCTTCAGATACATCCGTTTGTCTTTAATAAGGGTGTGTGTGTATCTTTATTTGTAGAATCTCCTTCCAAGAGTGGCTGCCAAGTTGGATGTGGCTCCCATTTCAGATATCATTGAGATCAAATCTCCAGACACCTTTGTGAGGACCATTTACGCTGGTAAACAAAAAAACGAATGCACCAGTAGCACTTCTCAATGAAATGCTTGCTTTAAACCTGTTTGCTTTCAAATAACCTTCCTAGTTTGTTCCATATCCTTCTCATTGTTTGTGATTTAGGAGTCTGGTCATCGTGCATGGAGACGAGCAATGACTCACGCTGACTTGAAACAAATCATATATTTTCATTTTTAAATCTAATGGGGGACCCTGGAGCCTTTTTGTCCCACTTTGCATGTATTATTTTTTACTGTTCACCGATTCTCATCCATAAAATCTACTGCAATAAATACTTCCTAATTACTCCGGCCACTTTATCTTTGGCAAGCACAAAGCACTTGTGTAAAAAATATTATTTATGAGACTCTTTTATTTAAATGTTATTTTAAATCAGATATAAATGTTTTTCTTGCGAAACATCAAATGAAAAGCGGTGGTTTGCCACGTGTGGTGATCATTTATATCCAAGGTTTTCAACCAGGGGATCCTTGAAGGTTCTGTGCATATGATTTCTAATTCATTTTCTTAAATGATCTGAAAAGTATTAAAATGGACAATTTATGATGATATGTTTTTCATTATACAATGTAGTAATGTGTATTAATGACCTTAATACAAGCTATTATGTAGTGACAATCTAGCTCCTTTTAACAAAAAATAATCAAGCTTTTTTCATACTGGGAGTCCACCATTAAAAATTAAAACTTGATTTTAAATGTCTTATTTAATTTAATATTTAATGTTAATTTTTTATTTATTTTTATTGTATTTATATATATATATATATAAAATTTATTTTATTTTTTATTAAGTTTTGCTATTAAGAATATTTCTCGTCATTTCAAACACCTATTTTCCTGATTTCGTTCACAGGAAATGCCCTCTGCACAGTCAAGTGCAATGAAAGCGTCAAGGTCTTCACCATTAGAGGCACTTCCTTTGAACCTGCGGCTGTGGAGGGGGGCAGCGCCTCTTCAGAGGAAGGTACTGAGTCGTTTGATAAAGTTAAGCACACTGTTGTTTGTTCATGTTTTGCTTTAAGGTCACGCTGACTTTGATACCACACACAAAGGTTTATAGTATTTAGTGCTGTATATAATCTTCCACTCTGCTGCGAGGTTTTGATGGGCTAGTTTGTTTAAATGTTGGCTTTAAAGGGATCGTAAAGGGCATTTCGGAACAACTCGGCCTGTTTATTTGGACGTCTCCTCACGAGATGTTGTTGCTTTTGCAGTCTCTCCGTCTGCCCCTATTGGGGTCTCTGAGTGGCTGGAACAAACTCTAACCAAGAGTGACCGTCCAGAACTCACCGGTGCTAAAGTCGTGGTGTCTGGAGGTAAGAACCTCGCACATGAACCACAATCATCCATTGGACATTACAGGAAAGTGTCCTAATATTAACTAATGCATGTTACAGAATGTGTAGTTCACTCTCAAATGCTGATTGGTCAGTGCAGTGTTTCAGCTATGCTATGATAATCTGTTCACCTACCTATATCACTTCACCCTT